AGTGGGATTTCTTTGTTTGAGAAGTGCGACCGCTCGCGGGAGGTCGCGGTGCGGGGAAGGGGCGCTAGGCGTTTCACGCCGGCGTGTCTTTCTGTTCGGAAGGAGTCATTCATTCGTTGCATTGTCTGAAAATGGAGGGCCGCTGGCAGGGGAGGAAGCGGGGAGTGGGTTTGGCATGGTGTGGCGAGTTTATTTCCGTGTTCCTTTCTTTTCTAACCTCTTCCTATTCTGCTTTTGGGTCACCCTGCACCGGCTGGGCTGTACCCATGCATCCACGCAATTACGTAGGCTGGTCAGAGAGTATCGCCCAGAAGGACTTCACACATGGTCTGTGGAGAACAAGCCTGCACCTTCCTTCTCAGATGCACAGATGAAAGGCATTACATTAACGGATGTAATTAAATAGTGAATTCTCTGCCATGCGCCCAGCCGGGTCTCTAAGTAAGGCCTGTTATTCCTCTGCCCCATCTGACTTTGGGGCGAGCTGGTTATTTCTCGCACACAGGCGAATTGGGGTTTTATCAGTGGCATGGCAGGGGTTCAGTATCAACAACCCACAAAGATTGAATATATCCATCTTACCGCTTCGCTGCCTAGGATGATTAAATGAAACGCAGTGCTTGGTGCGGTCTGACCGGTGTGTGTGGGTGAGTGAGACCACGTGCCGTTTGGTTCCGACGGCCCGGTTGAGTGTACACTCATTCCCATCGCTGGCCTCGCCCCTTGATGAATGCTCGATGGGGGTGCGTCAGTTCCACCTCCCCTTCTATCCGCCGCCCTGCCGATGGCACATCGATGTCACCGACCATCTCGGAGATCACCCCCACGCAGTAGATAAGCCCGACCACCAGTGGGCGATCTGAGGCACTCCACGTCATCCCAGCTGTACCACATTCTCATACACAGTAGCGGTGTTTACCGCCATTCGAACCATGAATTTCCATGGCGTCTGCACACAGGGGATGGGAGGAGGGAGATGACAAACACGGGCTTGGAGCCCACAGTGTGGTATGGCTTTTACTCCAGACTTACAGTGTCTTACATTGCAGTGAAATCGAGTGTGATACAGAAAAGATTTAGGTTTATATCTCGCTGTCAGAATTCTTCATAGTTCGTAATCACCTTTTAAGAGCCCCTGAAGTGTCTCACAGATAACCTTTAAAGTTTATGTGCAGTTTATTTTTTTCATTCTACATTAAAGAAACTTCAACACGTTAAACCAATGGAAACTGTGTTGGAAGACCGAACCATGGCTGTGTAAGTCGAGTATAATGAGGTAGCTAAAACTTTACTTTCAGTAAAAGGACTTTCCCTTTTCAGCGGAGCCGTGCTGTCCTTTAGCTCTGTAATTAAAGATTTTAATTAACTACTGTTCCCCGTACACCTTTGTGTAAAGTAAAACTTTTGTTTGCTGGGCAGCTGCTGGAATGCACTGCAGCGGTGTGTGCAGTGATGGCTAACACACACGTTTCAAATGATAATTGGAAATCGTACTTATTAGGAGTCAGGCAGTTGTTTCCAATTAATGGAGACCCTAAGAATGGACTGTCTCCACAGCGTAGTTTTCAGGAGTTTCAAGCTCCTGCTGACACCTGGGCGAATCGATTCGTGCTGCTACAGTTTTCCTCCCCTTTCCATGCATAATTGTCTTCTCTAATCAGCCTGCTCTCCTCGCGATGCATTTGTGCTATAGTCTATGGCCGTTCAGGATTCTAATGATTCGCGCAGTTGTATTTTCAATAGCTTAACATCGTTAGGGGAGTTTTTGTACCAGGTACTCGATGTTCTTTATTGTTTGGTTCAGGAGTGCTGGGAGCTGGGGGGGAGCAAAAATGTGGACCGTCTGGGGTCCCTGAGGACTGGGCTAAGAATCACTGCTCTAACCCCTCAAGCTCACATTCAAAGAACAGGAACCGGCGCCCAAACCTCGGCTGCTTATCTCACCCCCAGCCACTCCTGAACCTTCATTTCCTGGTTTCTAATCTGCTGATGAAGGATAAAGACCATCAGCAGGTGTGATGGCTTCAGTAGAACCTAGGATGACATTCACGTACCCCGCCCAGGATGACGTCCCGCCCAGAAGCTCACGGGAGGTGTGCAGCACTCACTAACCAACACAAGCTTATCCTGCTGTCCTGTGTTGAGGGGTGGGCCTCTGAATGGGATAATTGGCCAGATTTTAAGGGGGACGGGGAGAGTAAAAATAAAACATCCGTGAAAAGGGTTATTAAAAACCTTCATGTGTAAAACATGCTTTGTTCATTAATGATTCATCTGCCTTCCTAAGCACTGCAATCTTCACACTTTATAAAACATTGAAGGGTCCAAGGAGCAGGCGATCTCTCCAGGATCCCCGAGCCAGCAGACGTGCCTCCATGCCCTGTTACTGGGCTGGTCACCCAGCCTCCTCCCTCCACGTGTGACGCAGACGCAGCTCTGCGTTCCTGTGCAGTCAAAGGGTTAAGAGCTGTGAGATCCCATTTTAGATTTTACATCCAAAACCCAATTTCAGGGAGGACACCAGGGTTAGATAAAGCTCTGAATAAGGTACATTTGCCCTGTATAAGAGAATGTTAAATGGGTAAATGCCAACATCTTCCGCTTGGTGAGAGCTTACGTCAAAGGCAGCAGTTTTTATGCTGTTTTATTGTTTGAAAAGAGAAGCATAATATTATTCATTATATTATCCCTGAGAGATTACTGAAGTAGTAGGTTGTATGCAACTGGGAGTAGGTGGCAAAGCTGGTGGCGGGGTGGGGGGGGGGGGGGTGCCCTGTTAACTGAAATCACACCGACGATATTGAGGAGGTACGGAAGGTGATGGAGCACCTACCAAGCACTGCATGAGCCTGGATCTGACCAGGGGTGTGTGCACAAGCACCTGCTTTTATGTTGGGACAGGGTAAGGCAGCGAAAACTGCAAACCAGAGTCACTGTGTGGCACGGAAATCAATAGTCGGAATAGATCGTGTCACTTCCTGCAAAGATGTTAATGCCAGGCGTCACCATGCATTCATTTGGTTGCTTGTATTTCACAGATCCCTCTCTCCCTCTCTCATCGCAATTCCCATCCCTCCCTCCCCATGTTTGATTCTTTCAGACATATTCTCCGTCATCCCAGGCTCCAGTCTAAGGCTCTGAAGTAGTAAAGACACGGGTGTGTGATCTGGAGGATGCGGGTGCCAGACTGGGTCCTGCTGCGAGCTGAGAGAATTACCCAAATATCAAGCAGTATAAATGGGCAAAATTGGAAGCTGTTTTAGAGAAAAGTGGCCAATAAATAACTGCAGGTCTGGGTGAACTTGCAGTGGGAAGTATTGCTTATTTTAGACCCTGTATCTCTCTAAATTCCTGAATTGCTGCTGTTACGCATGTTCCTTTGCTGGCAGTAAATAAAACTCACCCTAGAAGCTGCTTCACTTCCGAAGGCTGCTATCACAAACATCAAAATACCCCAGAGATGGCGAAGATGATCTTCTCAGCAATTTTCTATTTGTGCGCCTTGGAGCCTCCTCAGAACCGGGAAACAACTTCCTTTAGCTAGTTATGACTGCCGGGTACTTACCTCCTCTCCCTCTGAATTCCCACAGAAGGTTCCCTCAAAGATTTCCTGTGTTAACATCAGCAATTAACAGTTCTGCTGAGAACAGTGCCTGTAGTTCTGCGCATGGAGTTTCCATTCGACAGTGGATCAAATCTCATAAGAATTGTCATGTTTTCACTTAATGCCACGTTTTGAAACATCACTTGGAAAAGGCCGCTTAATCAATAACTCGACCGGCCGATCGAACCTAATTTCACACGGAAATTGTTCACATGCAAGTTGTCACGGAACGTTTTCCAGGGGGCGCCTAAAAACAGACGAACGGTCTGCGTATTACGCGGAAGGCAATCTGAGTAATGCTCCTACGAAACGTGGTCTAAAAATACACAAATCAGAAATATAAGCGTGAGAAAGGCATGCCGCTTGATAGTGGCTGATAGCAAATGGGCTGCCAGTCGTGCCCAGGAGAGATCAGACGGGGAGATGATGAGTGTATCTCATAGGTCCTCCAGGTTCTGCGGCAGGAACCTGCCAGCACATCAGTGTTGGTTAAGCATGGAAAACAACATCCTTGTCACCTAGGTACCTTCTAGGCCCAGTTGCAAATTATGCTTTACCAGTGCGTCATTCACCCCATCCCTGCTCCATCCCTGCTCCATCCCTGCTCCATCCCTGCTCCATCCCTCCCCCTACATCCTTTTATTTCACCAGCTGCGGCGTCTTACCCTTTTTTACCACCTCCCAGGGCTGAAAAGTGTTTACATGTTGCTTCAGCCACGGCGGTCGCCGGCAGAACAGACAGACCTCATCAGACCTGTGTTTAATCTCCACAAAGAACACTTGACATTCAGTTATTTTTTTTTTTATTTAAAGAAAAGGAAGTCTAGAGAAGAGAGATCACTGCACGTTTGAAGGGGACTGTTTCTGAAGAGAGGAAACAAAAGAACGCTTGCATTCCAGTTTTAAGGTTTATCGGCGCGATTTCCTCATGCTCGGCTCTGCGGGCGGGCTGTCAGCTTGTGGGGGGGGGCTCACGCGTGCCGCCAGCTGATTATGTAGAAAAACAGGGTGCCAGTCATGTTATTTCCCCCCTTTCTTTCCGCAGCATCTCGCATAAAAGGCACCAAGGCGTATTAATGTCAGAACGCGATCCGGCGCTCATCTCCGTTCAGCTCTGTCGCGGTTGATTTCGAGTCGTGTGGCGCGCACAGACGCTTTTTTTCATTGAGGTCTTTCCGGAAAAGAAAAGTTCAGAGAGTGAAGCAAATGCGGGATTTAAAGATTGAAAGGGTTCTACCTCACCTCGTCACGGAGCTAACACCGCACAGGCGGGAACAGGAACCGGTTTGTCTGTCGCACGCTGCCCGTTTTATTTTTTGTCTGCTGGCCGCAGAACTGCGAATCATTTAAGCCTCTTCTGAATAAAGTCACCCCCCGCCCCTGTTTGGTGCCGCAGTTCCAGGCGTCCGTGGACGAGGGCTCAACGGGGGTCATCGTGAACCTGACGGTGGACGACAGGGATGACCCAGCGACTGGCGCATGGCGGGCCGTTTACTCCATCATCAACGGCAACGTGGGCCAGAGCTTCGAGGTCCAGACCAACCCGGACAACAACGAGGGCATGGTATCTGTGGTGAAGGTAGTGCACCGCATCCTGATTGGTCAGCGCCGGTCTGTCGAGACCCATCAGCAAATACGTCGACAGGATGAATTCTAATAAAATAGTGCATGACCCCCATCCTCTACCTCACCCCCAGACATGCCGTTTATATAGTACCCCCCCTTAATGGATGAGCTTTGGCTGAAATTTGGCCATGTAGAAGCAGCCTTCAACGAATGTATGAGCGGCGTTTGAGTGTTTCAGTGTTTATGTTCACAGCGTGGAGGTGGCCCATTCTGTTGTGGTCTGCAGACTTTTTGAGTAATGTATCGCACATTTAGCGCATTGTGAAAGGGTTCAGTTATGTGGATAATAGAAAGGAAAGTGTGTGAGCCAAAATGGCAGAAGACACGGCCTCTGCCTTGCCCTGACCCCTGGATCTACTCTCCTGCTCCCCCCCCCCAGCCCCTGGATTACGAGAACACAGCCTACCACACGCTGCTGATCCGGGTGGAGAACGAAGACCCCCTGGTGCCCAACGTGGGTTACGGACCAAGCTCCACAGCCACAGTACATGTCACGGTCATGGACGTCAACGAAGGCCCCGTGTTCTTCCCGGACCCCATGCTGGTGACCAAGCGGGAGAACGTGCCAGTGGGTAGCTTTGTGGCCACGCTCAATGCCACCGATCCCGACATCCTGCAGACGCAGTCTATCAGGTGGGAGCGGGAAGGAGCAAAAACGCGTGGCGTCGTGTCAGGTCTTTGTCTGTTTGCATGGCCACCGATGCGATCCTGAAAGTGATGCATGCTGGGATATCTAACCGATGCTCACCAAACTGTAAAAACTGTCAAATGCAGTGTTGTGAAGTTTTATGCCATAACTACTGGGTTAATAACTGCATCTGGAGGTGAGCATAACTTTCACACAGGCCATCGATAGCCTTTCTTTGTGAGAATTGATGTTGCTCCACTGCGGCTCAAATGTCAGATGGCGACAGAACACACCTATTCTGGTCCTTGATCTGTTAAATGACCCGCGTACAAGGTCAGGTGAGCATTGATATAAGCAGCCTGGTCGCAGTGGGGGAGGGTTAATGTTGCTGCATTGTTTACAGCAGCTACATTTTGTTGGTGGACCGAATTAGGAGCAAGCTCAAATTAAGCACAGATGTTTCTATCCTCCAGTGGATTCAGTGGTCTGGAGCAGTGCACCATGCACCGCCCAAATGTTCTTACTCTGAATTTGTTGGACAACTGTGGTGTGCAGGCTTTTCTTGGAATTTGAATGTAGCATTTACAGAATTTATCTTTGTTGGGTTCTGTGTTGTGTAGTATTTCAGCATAACCTGGGCGTTTACCTCACTGCTAATCCATTACAGGGTCAGAGTGAACGAGGCAGCTGTCCAGGNGCCCTGTTAACTGAAATCACACCGACGATATTGAGGAGGTACGGAAGGTGATGGAGCACCTACCAAGCACTGCATGAGCCTGGATCTGACCAGGGGTGTGTGCACAAGCACCTGCTTTTATGTTGGGACAGGGTAAGGCAGCGAAAACTGCAAACCAGAGTCACTGTGTGGCACGGAAATCAATAGTCGGAATAGATCGTGTCACTTCCTGCAAAGATGTTAATGCCAGGCGTCACCATGCATTCATTTGGTTGCTTGTATTTCACAGATCCCTCTCTCCCTCTCTCATCGCAATTCCCATCCCTCCCTCCCCATGTTTGATTCTTTCAGACATATTCTCCGTCATCCCAGGCTCCAGTCTAAGGCTCTGAAGTAGTAAAGACACGGGTGTGTGATCTGGAGGATGCGGGTGCCAGACTGGGTCCTGCTGCGAGCTGAGAGAATTACCCAAATATCAAGCAGTATAAATGGGCAAAATTGGAAGCTGTTTTAGAGAAAAGTGGCCAATAAATAACTGCAGGTCTGGGTGAACTTGCAGTGGGAAGTATTGCTTATTTTAGACCCTGTATCTCTCTAAATTCCTGAATTGCTGCTGTTACGCATGTTCCTTTGCTGGCAGTAAATAAAACTCACCCTAGAAGCTGCTTCACTTCCGAAGGCTGCTATCACAAACATCAAAATACCCCAGAGATGGCGAAGATGATCTTCTCAGCAATTTTCTATTTGTGCGCCTTGGAGCCTCCTCAGAACCGGGAAACAACTTCCTTTAGCTAGTTATGACTGCCGGGTACTTACCTCCTCTCCCTCTGAATTCCCACAGAAGGTTCCCTCAAAGATTTCCTGTGTTAACATCAGCAATTAACAGTTCTGCTGAGAACAGTGCCTGTAGTTCTGCGCATGGAGTTTCCATTCGACAGTGGATCAAATCTCATAAGAATTGTCATGTTTTCACTTAATGCCACGTTTTGAAACATCACTTGGAAAAGGCCGCTTAATCAATAACTCGACCGGCCGATCGAACCTAATTTCACACGGAAATTGTTCACATGCAAGTTGTCACGGAACGTTTTCCAGGGGGCGCCTAAAAACAGACGAACGGTCTGCGTATTACGCGGAAGGCAATCTGAGTAATGCTCCTACGAAACGTGGTCTAAAAATACACAAATCAGAAATATAAGCGTGAGAAAGGCATGCCGCTTGATAGTGGCTGATAGCAAATGGGCTGCCAGTCGTGCCCAGGAGAGATCAGACGGGGAGATGATGAGTGTATCTCATAGGTCCTCCAGGTTCTGCGGCAGGAACCTGCCAGCACATCAGTGTTGGTTAAGCATGGAAAACAACATCCTTGTCACCTAGGTACCTTCTAGGCCCAGTTGCAAATTATGCTTTACCAGTGCGTCATTCACCCCATCCCTGCTCCATCCCTGCTCCATCCCTGCTCCATCCCTGCTCCATCCCTCCCCCTACATCCTTTTATTTCACCAGCTGCGGCGTCTTACCCTTTTTTACCACCTCCCAGGGCTGAAAAGTGTTTACATGTTGCTTCAGCCACGGCGGTCGCCGGCAGAACAGACAGACCTCATCAGACCTGTGTTTAATCTCCACAAAGAACACTTGACATTCAGTTATTTTTTTTTTTATTTAAAGAAAAGGAAGTCTAGAGAAGAGAGATCACTGCACGTTTGAAGGGGACTGTTTCTGAAGAGAGGAAACAAAAGAACGCTTGCATTCCAGTTTTAAGGTTTATCGGCGCGATTTCCTCATGCTCGGCTCTGCGGGCGGGCTGTCAGCTTGTGGGGGGGGGCTCACGCGTGCCGCCAGCTGATTATGTAGAAAAACAGGGTGCCAGTCATGTTATTTCCCCCCTTTCTTTCCGCAGCATCTCGCATAAAAGGCACCAAGGCGTATTAATGTCAGAACGCGATCCGGCGCTCATCTCCGTTCAGCTCTGTCGCGGTTGATTTCGAGTCGTGTGGCGCGCACAGACGCTTTTTTTCATTGAGGTCTTTCCGGAAAAGAAAAGTTCAGAGAGTGAAGCAAATGCGGGATTTAAAGATTGAAAGGGTTCTACCTCACCTCGTCACGGAGCTAACACTGCACAGGCGGGAACAGGAACCGGTTTGTCTGTCGCACGCTGCCCGTTTTATTTTTTGTCTGCTGGCCGCAGAACTGCGAATCATTTAAGCCTCTTCTGAATAAAGTCACCCCCCGCCCCTGTTTGGTGCCGCAGTTCCAGGCGTCCGTGGACGAGGGCTCAACGGGGGTCATCGTGAACCTGACGGTGGACGACAGGGATGACCCAGCGACTGGCGCATGGCGGGCCGTTTACTCCATCATCAACGGCAACGTGGGCCAGAGCTTCGAGGTCCAGACCAACCCGGACAACAACGAGGGCATGGTATCTGTGGTGAAGGTAGTGCACCGCATCCTGATTGGTCAGCGCCGGTCTGTCGAGACCCATCAGCAAATACGTCGACAGGATGAATTCTAATAAAATAGTGCATGACCCCCATCCTCTACCTCACCCCCAGACATGCCGTTTATATAGTACCCCCCCTTAATGGATGAGCTTTGGCTGAAATTTGGCCATGTAGAAGCAGCCTTCAACGAATGTATGAGCGGCGTTTGAGTGTTTCAGTGTTTGTGTTCACAGCGTGGAGGTGGCCCATTCTGTTGTGGTCTGCAGACTTTTTGAGTAATGTATCGCACATTTAGCGCATTGTGAAAGGGTTCAGTTATGTGGATAATAGAAAGGAAAGTGTGTGAGCCAAAATGGCAGAAGACACGGCCTCTGCCTTGCCCTGACCCCTGGATCTACTCTCCTGCTCCCCCCCCCAGCCCCTGGATTACGAGAACACAGCCTACCACACGCTGCTGATCCGGGTGGAGAACGAAGACCCCTTGGTGCCCAACGTGGGTTACGGACCAAGCTCCACAGCCACAGTACATGTGACGGTCATGGACGTCAACGAAGGCCCCGTGTTCTTCCCGGACCCCATGCTGGTGACCAAGCGGGAGAACGTGCCAGTGGGTAGCTTTGTGGCCACGCTCAATGCCACCGATCCCGACATCCTGCAGACGCAGTCTATCAGGTGGGAGCGGGAAGGAGCAAAAACGCGTGGCGTCGTGTCAGGTCTTTGTCTGTTTGCATGGCCACCGATGCGATCCTGAAAGTGATGCATGCTGGGATATCTAACCGATGCTCACCAAACTGTAAAAACTGTCAAATGCAGTGTTGTGAAGTTTTATGCCATAACTACTGGGTTAATAACTGCATCTGGAGGTGAGCATAACTTTCACACAGGCCATCGATAGCCTTTCTTTGTGAGAATTGATGTTGCTCCACTGCGGCTCAAATGTCAGATGGCGACAGAACACACCTATTCTGGTCCTTGATCTGTTAAATGACCCGCGTACAAGGTCAGGTGAGCATTGATATAAGCAGCCTGGTCGCAGTGGGGGAGGGTTAATGTTGCTGCATTGTTTACAGCAGCTACATTTTGTTGGTGGACCGAATTAGGAGCAAGCTCAAATTAAGCACAGATGTTTCTATCCTCCAGTGGATTCAGTGGTCTGGAGCAGTGCACCATGCACCGCCCAAATGTTCTTACTCTGAATTTGTTGGACAACTGTGGTGTGCAGGCTTTTCTTGGAATTTGAATGTAGCATTTACAGAATTTATCTTTGTTGGGTTCTGTGTTGTGTAGTATTTCAGCATAACCTGGGCGTTTACCTCACTGCTAATCCATTACAGGGTCAGAGTGAACGAGGCAGCTGTCCAGGNAAAATTTTTAGCAATAGTGCAAATATTGCAGTGTCACCACTGGCATCCTATTCAGCCATATGCAGTTGGAAGATGGATGGTTAGATGTAAAGTAACCTATAGAATCTACCAAAACAATACTTAGTGTGCTGATTTTTTTTTAAAATCTCATCGTAGAAAGTAAAGACTGGTAGAAGAAGATTGCCATAAAACGCGTTGAGAATGGTGGGCCCCTTTCAGACACTAACACGCATGGCACATACATCGTTTTAGCTTTAATGTTCTTTTTGTCGGGTCTAAAACCATTTTCTTTTCTGTATCATTCGCTGCGGCGTGCCTTTGAGATTGGATTTGAAACGCTGACTTGATAGCAGTGTTTCCAGACGTGCTCCCCACGTAGTGTTCTCCCCCCGGGGAGGGGCGGGTCCATTTCTGGCCACTAGATTCTCATTGGGGTGCATGCTTGAGCCGTGATTGGCCGGCAGTGCGGGCCATGGGCGGGGCAAAGGAGGCGGCCATGTTGAAGATGCCTGCCCACCAAAGAG